CCAGCCTGAACTACATAGTGGCACCCTGTCTCAAAAGGACAAAGACAAAATAAACTCAAATTTACTAAATCTACCCTGCAAAATCTTTTCTCTGCATTATCTCTTCCTATAAAACAGGTTATATACAGAACAAATATTCAATCTCCATCTATGAAGGCCTGAAATGAAATCCTTCCTATAGTTTTTAAAAAGCTTTTTCACTCCTTTTCCATAGTTCCAAAAAAAAAAAAAAAAGGCAGTAACTTGTGTTCAGAACATTTCAAGTATTTCCTTCTGTGGACAATTGCTTGTAATAAAAATCATTGTCAACATAATTTTTAAACCAAAATCTAAGAAACTTATCCAGGGCCTTCCCTGAGCTATACAACCCCAATCCTTTATTTTGAGACAGGGTCTTGGTTAGTAAATTTGCAGAAGCTGGGCTTGTACTTGGGTCCTTCCTGCCTCAGCTATCAGGCCTTTCAGCTCCCCAGAGTGCTGGGATTATACATGTGTACCAACACACCTGCCTAAGGATTCGGTATCCAATTGGAAAATAAAATTTAAGTAGAGCCGGGCAGTGGTGGTGCATGCCTGTAATCCCAGCACTCAGGAGGCTGAGGTAGGAGGATCACCAAGTTTCAGGCCGGCCTGGGCTAGAGTGAGATTCTGGCTCAAAAAGACAAAAAAAAAAAAATTTAAGTAGAGATTATTCACTTTAAAGTATATACACTGCCAGGCATGGTGGCACACACCTGTAATCCTAGCATTCAGGAGGCTGAGGCAGGAGGATCACTGAGTTGAAGGCCAGCCTGAACTGCATAGTAGAACCCTGTCTCAAAAAGAATATACAGTAATACCTTACTTATGTCATAGAGAAAGTATACATAAGGGAGAATGTAGAAATTCACCCTTTTTAAAATAAGACTTAGGCTAAAAATCCTTCCCAAAACTTAATATGGAGTTCTTTCTTAAACAGAGCATCTTGAATAGAATGGTTTCCTCAAAAAAGTCTACTTTGCATGCCTACGATATTTCTGTTTGCACTTGAGTGTTTCAAGCTGTCAACCTCTGATCCTCAGGATAGAGCACCTGGGGCCCCAGTCTGAGGGTTACTTGAGCCAAGTGTATGTGCTGCTCAGACTTTTCTTTGTGGAACTGCTACTTTCCGCCTGTTCCACAAAGCTGGGGCTGAAAAATGATGTGTGAATCTTCACTACAAAACGAAGGAAAGCCGGGCGTGGTGGCACACGCTTGTAATCCCAGCATTTGGGAGACTGAGGCAGGAGGATCACTGCGAGTTCGAGACCAGCCTGGGCTACATACAAAGTGAGTTCAAAGCCAGCCTGAACTGCATAGTGAGACCCTGTCTCAAAAAGACAAAAAAAAAAAAAAAAAAGATTCTTACAAACTGAAGGAAAATGGGCTGTTTGTCACTTTGTGGTACAGCTCCTGCCCAGCACACCTGAGACCACGGGTTCAATTCCTAGTAAGAGAGGAGGGGAGACTGCAAGGCCTGCATGCACAAAACCTATAAGCTGTTTGCATAAAATACTACGCCAGTCATGTTGATTCACAAGGGCAGAATGATTATGAATCTTTTTTCAGCATGCACTAGGGCCATTTCAGAATAGCAATGGCTATAACCCTAACGTACAATAACAATTTCTACAGAATGCTCACTAAAATGCTGCTTGAAAGTATGTATTTTTTTTACGCTTCCCAACCAGATTTCCTTGGTACATTTTAGGTACGTATAATGGTCATATTTAAAGAGAACTTATACCTGTACATGATGTAACTTGTTTTTTCCCACTCCACTCCCCTCCCTCCAACCCCTCCTCCCTTCCCCATTTACTAAAAGTACGTTTTGATTTCAAAGTATATCACGTATTGATGCTGTTGTTGAGAAGCAGATGTAACTACAAAACTATTTCTAAGGAGAACCATGGTAACCATGTATACACACATGTGTCACAAAGCACCGAAACATCAGCCCCATAAAGGGGCCTGTAAGTAAGCCGTGTCTCCTATATGGACATACAAGGATGAAATTTTATTCCCTGGAATAGAGGCAAATTATGTTCCAGGCATTCTGCCTGCCCATACGAAAAAGGCAGAACTTTGGGTTATGTGGGTATGCTTTGAAAGAAACTAAAGTGTATGAACTCAGAAAATTTGAATGCCATGATACTTGTGATTTAAGAAACTGATCCCAAATTTAAAAACAAAACCCAGGCCAGGTGTGGAGGTGCCCACCTGTAATCCCAGCACTAGGGAGGCTGAGGAAGGAGAAGCAGGAGTCTAAGGCCAGCCAGCCTGAGCTACACATCAAAACCCTGTCTCTATAAAAAAAAAGTTCTGCTTTGGAAAGACTGTTTGCTTAGGTTCAATTTGAAACCTAAATATGGTTAAGAATCTTTTACAATGTAAAATCCAGAATAAGTAATTAAACAGAATTCAGATGTAGGTTACTTGAATTGCTTAAATCATTTTTCAAACATACAGTAAAACTTGACATTTTAAAGCAATTACAATTATTTACCAAAGAAATGCTAGGGTGCTTCACATTCTGCCTGCAAAACTGCAATCATTTAAAGAATATCTTTTGTCATCAAATACAAGATCAACACTGTCGTACAGTTTTTAAAGTTCTTTAATAAATTGTCCATGTGGGAAGAAAGGGGATAAAAAGAAACAAAACAAGCTATTAAGTGAAAGAAGTTATTTAGAAAAACTGTCTCATCTACCTAAGGCTTTATAAAGGCAGAGCGGGGGGCAAAAAGTACAAGCCCTTTTTCAGGCTTCAGACGCATTCCCTGAAAACCTGGGGAGGGGGGAGAAGGCAATGAGGGAGCGCAGGCAATTTTAAAAGGTATTGTCTAGAAACCAGAAATGAAGAGAAAACATCCTCAATGCTCTATGATTACCCAAGAACGGGTTTAACCAGATGAGCGAGTCCAGTACAAACCCTCCCCGGGCGTTTTGAAAGACTATCAAACAAAACTTTATTAAACCAGATTATACGGTCTCACCCATTAGATGTTGGGGGCCACAATGTTTATGATGGGTGAAAAAGTTGATGCCGGGGATTCACTAGGCCTACGTCCTCTTTCGTTTTTTTTTATTAGCTAATGCAAGCATTGTTCAGACAGCCCCCTATTAAATTTCTCTGCCAGCAGGTCAAGTTCCAGAATCCTAGGTACAAGCGTTCAGAGCACTAACCCTTGACAAGGGTTGAAAGGCTACTTAGATATGGCCTGACTACAACCCTGCAATAAGCAGTTGATTAACATCGTTCTATGCGATTGTGCTCTTCTTTTATTAGCAGACTTTACCCCTTGAAAATGTGCTCCCCCTCCTTCCTAGCTCCAGTTTCAAGGACTTCCAAGAGAAACACAGTTCAAGTTTTCTAAGCCATTTCCACCTCCCTGTAACCAAAACTTCAGGCAGAACAGACACTCATTTTCAATCTCCTTAATACAACATACGGCCTGTGAGAGTATTTTAGCATTTCTAGATGGAATATTTCCCTGGCACTCGTCATTTGTATTTTGAAAACTTCAGGTCGAATTTTATTCTATGATTTCATTCTTCCATGGGTGCCTCACGGAAAACAATTTCTGCCTTGGGTTCCTACGTAGGATCTTTCCTTTCATATGATCAATTTGTCTACATCTAACAAGCTCAGGCCAAAACCCGCTCACTTTATAGATAAATGCAGGGGAAAACTTTTCTTTAACAAGCAGTTTCTCAAAATGCCCTGCACCTATCACACTGTGCCAAGCAATGCCATTCGGGTTTTAACAGCAGTGTTTATCACTGGGATATCAAGCAGTATTTCCTAACAGGCACACACAAGGCATCTGCAGCTGTATTCCCCATATTCCTCTCGGAGCTCTATCTCAGTCAGCACTGACCTTTGTTCAAAGGCTTTTACTTTTTAATGTAGCAGTTAGAGATAACTACTTCATTTATCAAAACTCAATTTCCATAGTAACATCTAGCCTGGGGAGATTCAAGTCCTCACACTAATCCAACAACCCATTCAAAGGAACTGTTGAATACTTTGGTTACCATAGCAATGATGGAATAATACTTTTGCTAGGTCATTGCTGTTGTTAGCAAACTTATTCTTTGAACTTTAGGTAAGGCTATATTTACTGAGGAAAAAAGGACAATCACTTTCTATAAGGTCTTCCCCTTAGGGCTATTTTTTAAAGAAAATTACAAATAGTAACATTCTATATATTTGAAAATATTATGGGTATGTGGTTACCTTTTAAATAAGGTGTGCTACCTAGTTGCATCTTAAAATGGGTTCTAGAAATTTTAAAATTAAAAAGCTTCCAGAAGTGACTGCTATGGATTTAACAAAAACAAGTAGTTCTACAATTAAGGAGGCTAAATTTAAAAGTATGTTTTAATTGAGGATGAAATATAAACAAGATTAAGCCTCTCAAACAGATCAAATATAGGCTGGGATAGAACTTTTAAACCATAACCTATTCTTCACCACCTGATTGTAGTGTTCCTCAATTTTAGGACTTTTGTTCATCTAGCGCAGAAAACATATCAAACACAAGTGTTTTAAACAGGGAAACTACAGAGAAAGTATTAGGCAGTTATGCTGTACATGCTAAATGTAAAAGTTTTTAGTGTTTAAAATGGCTTTTTGGAAGCAAAATCATTTGCTACAGGAGAAATTTTCTTTTAAGACATGAACAGCATCACCATGAAAGGTTTTAAAAAGCCCCATTAGTAAACATTGTTGTTTACGTTTTTGGGTAATTGATTCATTGTGAGGTGACAGGACAAGACCTCTGTAAGTAGGCCCTGGCCTTCCTGGAATCAGACTTTCTCGTGGAGTTGCATTTTGAGCCAAGCCAGTGCTGAAAAGGTAGGCCATTAAAAATAAAAGTTGACAGAAGAAAGAAGAGATCAAACATGTGCTGGCTTTTAAAAGGATGAATACCACTTATAGTATTTACACAACTCAAAGAGTTAAGAAAATTACATACCAGTATGAGTCCTCAGGTGAGCTTTTAAATGAGAAGACTTTGTATAAACTTTTGTGCAACCTAAAATGAAGCAGAGGAAGAAGGACGTGTCATTGAGATTCTTTTGAAATCTTTACATTTGATGATTCAGTGTTTAAAATCTGGCTTTACAGAAGAAATCTCATGCTAGCTGGAATATTTGAAGCTTCAGTCTTAAAAATCTGAAGGCACTCCTGCCCATTATCTGATTAAAGGCATAAAGTGATTTGTCAAGAATCACTTAGTAGGAAAGAACACGGGTAACCGAGCCAAGCACCAAATGGAGAATCTGTACTTTTATTCCAGTAAGTTCTTTTTTATTAGGAATATATATTTCCATTGATTTACAAGCTATCACTCTATATGGTTTTTTGGGGGGCTTTTGCTGTTTTTTTTTGAGACAGGATCTCGCTAGATAGTACAGGCTGGTCTTGAAATTGTGGCAATCCTGTTTCAGCCTCCTAAGCGCTGGGATTATACGTGTGCACCACCAAGCCTGGCAATGTTTTTAATTTTAATGGACGTAGAGCTGACGGTACTAGACCATTATCCCAGATGACTATAATTTTCTGTACATCTACATTTCTTGTTTTCATTTAGCCTGTCATGCCATACCAGGTACTACAGTCAATAAATTATGCCCTGCATTAACAATAAACTGGCTTACTAGCAATTGGGAGATATATTTGTTACTGTCATCAATTTATATTTTGGGTCACGTATCCGACGAACAAGCAATATGCTATCAGAACCATGATTAAATCTGTCCTGGGGGCAGTCTTATACCTATGGTACCAAAGGTCTCTTTCCCCAGCACTTCATTTAGAATTTAACACTGCAACTTCTTGAAGTAACTTACAGTAACTAAATGAAATTAAAATTTTCATTATCCAAGAGAAAACAGTCCACAGTAACCTTTCCCCAGAACGTTCTCACCATTTTTTTCAGTATCCAAAATAAGCAAAATACATGAAATGCTTCAGTACCTGCTGGCAAAGCATTGAAACACGGTATGTGAAGGACAAAAGTCAGTGATTTTTGTTTTCAACTGTCAGGTACAATTTTCCTGTGTGGTTAGGCTGAGGTTGAAAGAGGAGCACGCACACACGCTTGCACACACTCACACACATGCGCACACACACACGCAGAGTGAGGCTGTAACCCAGAAGGGACACATACCAGGATAATCGCAGTAGTGGATGCGGCGTTTCTCCAAATCCGGGTTACTCCTCCTGTTGTATCTGACAGGCTGGATGCTGGGTGAGTTCACTGGCAGGGTGGCAGGTAAATTGGGATTGTGGATGGCCAGCTTAGAAGCAATTGTAGCAGCGTAGGATGGAGGTGGGGTTAGGTTCTGGAGCATCTCTGCTTGTCTATCGGGACTTCCAGGCTCTGAGCTGGGTGGTGATGGGGGAAAGTAAGTGGCCTGCTGCTGGGGGAGAAACTGACTTGGCATCGTGTATGTGCAGGGGGGCAGGCCCTGGAAGGGCTTCACCGCGGTCTGCGGGACGGCGGCGGTGTGTGTGTTAAGGCCCGCCATGGCGGCCGACATGGAGACGTTAAGGGTGTCCATGACCGGCGTCTGGCTTGCAGAGGTGGGCATGTCTAGATCCGGTGTGTTCAGTAGCTGGTACAGGTGGCCCTGCTGGGGAGGGACAGACAGGTGAAGATCTGGTGTAGGAAGTTCTTGTTTGATGAAAATGTTGTTCACCTCTGGTGCTGCGGTCTGGTGTGAGCTGAATATACTGGTGAACTCGGGGAGGGCCTGGGTCGGGGCCGGAGGAGGAGGAGGAGGAGGAGGAGGAGGAGGAGGGGCGGTCGTTTCACTCTGGTGGCTGAAAATGGTAACAGGTTCTGTCTTGATGTGTGTTACGCACGGTCTCTGGGATTTGTAGAGGCCAGTTCTCAGGTGGGTGATGTCAGGCAGGAAGACGTTCATGTTGATGCTGTAGGGCAGCCCCTCGCTGTCGGTGAAAAACTGGTCTACCACTGAGGCACTGTCGCGTCTGTACTTCTTATGCTCTGGAATTATCGGAACTGGAGGAAGCTGGGGTGTCAGATACTTCTCCATTTCACATCTCGTCTGAAAAAGAGACACAAACATTCATGATCTACCTGACATCTCAGGAAGAACTAACTAAAAACTCCCCCAACAAGCCGTGTGTAAAATACTAAAGCAAACTCCAAGGTGTTACTTGTAAATACATAGTGTTTATTTTGTTAAGTGTGTAATTATTGGTTCACCAAAAGCCTATGAAAGTCTGCATAATTTGTCCTTGATAAAACTGCTCCCCAGATCAAACCAGGACAGAGGCAAATCGGAGGAAAAAGTGGCAAAATATATTCTTTCCTGATGCAATAATACAGTATCACCACTGTAACAAGCGCTCAAGTTTACAGTCACACTACAGTACTGAAGTATGGCCAAACTACCCCAATTCTGCTCAAATTTAACAAGCTTTTTTTTTTTCTTAATTTTTGAAACTGTATAAGCCTTTAAAAAGGTCTTTTGTTTGGTTTGGGGTTTTTTTTTTGCCTTGGCTAGATATTTCCAAAATAACTAATATAAAATATTCTCTGGCGATTTCAGTGACTTCTCTTGTTTGCAGTTCAGTGGAAACTTAAATATAATGTTTTGAGCAAAACACAGTCTCCACTGAACAAAAAAAAAAAACAAAAAACCAACGATTTCACATTCAACATTTGATCTAAATGTTGATTTAATCAGTAGATTCAGTAATTGGTTAATATGATAATGAAATGTTCCTATTCATATCCCTATCTAAAACAGATCTTTAATTACCTTAGGGAAAATCACTCCCTTGGTAGACTGGTGCTAAGAAGCCCGTGGGTGGGGAGAGGCTGCTGTATGGCTGGCAGTCACCAGCAAAACATTTATCACGTCCCTCTCAGGGCGCCCATGCTACATTCCCCCTTACTCTGTAAAAAGCCCCGTCATCCCTTTTCCTCTTGTGTCTCCTAGCAGAACACTGCCAAACTGAAACAACCAAACAGTTCTCTTAGGCGATTTCTCCGTTGAGGACCTAGCACAGCTTGCAACAAGCTGCCTCAATCTTTTTTTTTTTTTTTTAAAGCTATCTGGTCTCCTAGTATAACAGAGGCTTAATTTTTCTCCTAACTCTTAACATGGAAAGGGGAATTTGAAAAAGCAAAACAAAACCCCGCTCCATCACTATTAACACGGCGCTCTCATCAGCGAATACTCCCAAAGCGTTTCATCTGGGACCTCAAGCCATTCAGATCGTACGGTGTGGATGAGGACGGGATCTCCCGGATAGACACGATTTAAAAATACAAATTAACGCTGTAGTCCTGTGAGTCACAGCTCTGACAAACGCCACTGTCCTCCCAAGGCCCGGCGGGCACTAGCAGCCCTCCCGGGATAGGTGATGGACAGCGAATGCACAATACACCGAGGCGCTGCTAAACGGGGCCCCTTGAAATACACCCAACTAACCTCTTTCGCGCACCGCGCTCGCGCGGCGGTTAGTGGTTTCTGATTTTAGCTCTTCCAGCTGTTTGCATGTGGGTACGCTTCCAATTTTTTTTTTTTCCTTCCTTGGGACAGGCTAAAAGTCCCGGGAAGTTTTTTCTGGGCTATATGACTCCGTGCGTGGGCGAAAGAAACAGGCGGTTGCTCTAATTCGGCTGCCGGGCAAGTGGAGAAGCCAACTGCCAGCCCTCGGCGCGGCTGAGGACATTCACGCGCACCCGGGAAAACAACACCTCGGCCTCTCTCCGTCTTTCTTTTCAGGGGAAAAGCAGGCGCCCCGATACACCCCGAGCGCTCCTAACCCACTCGTTTCCAGACGCGGCCCCGCCAGGCTTCTAAAGGGGCGCCGCGAGAATGCACCGCAAGCACCCTCTCCCCAGCACCCAACCCGCCCGGCCCCCGAGCCCGAGGCGACGAGGGAGCGGAGGGGACGCTGCCCCGGCCCTGGAGGGGCCAAGGGGCGCAGACCGCGCGCGAGGACCCCCCCCGCAGCGAGAGCGCAGGTCGC